AGAGAAAAGAGGAGGTCAGAAGGCCACTACTTGTCATGCAATGTGTAACATCCATTAAGTAGCTTAATTGCAAAAAGGGTTGCTTTTGAACGTTGCTAGGCATCAATGTCCTGCCTTTACCAGGACACCAGTGTTGTGCCATCAATGTCCTGCCTTCGCCCTGTTCATCCAGTGGGTCATCTGAAGACTTACTAGCAGTGGCTTGCCTTTAGCTGGCCAACTGCCCTGGGACCTGACACCCTGCTGGGTGACTGGCACCAGCAGAGCTGTTGATTAAGTCGGAACCTTCTCATGTGGTTGAATTTACTTCATCGTGTGGCTGAATTCACTTTGTCGCACAGTTAGTGGGTCTATTCCTATATGGGCTTCTGAATTAGATCTAAATAAGCCAGCAAGGAAATGTTGAAGCCATTCGTTGTTTTTGTGTACTTACTATCTTTTGTACTTCAGCAGCTGCCTTTGTACTTGTAGATGATACCATCTTCCACAGCAACATTAGCTATGTTGTCAAAGTATTAAATCTAAACGTTAGGCGTAACCGATTGAAATGTGCCCACTTGAACAGGTATTTTTATTGTGAAAAACAATTCTTGTTAAATATCTATCTAACAAGGAAAACATAATTATAAAGAATCTTTTCCATCTCCTGCACTAATTGAATGAACAGAATTCTTCTGTGCTACTTTGCAGACATAATCTGTTATTGAATTATTGCGTTAACACTGAGTTGCTGTTTTACCTTTGCCCCACTCAGCAGAAGAGCTTTCAGGCTTGTGAACTAGAGAGTCTCAATTATCTTTGTCCTTCTAACTAGAACTGTGTTCATATAGGACCTTGAGATTGATGATATTTTAACTACATTAATTTTCCCTTGGCTTGTTGATGAAGGACCTGCCAACCAAAAGTGAATAGGACTGGGAAGAAACGTTCCTTGTAACAAGTTTTCATTAATTCTTGCATAGAAAAAATAGGTTCATAAATCCTTATGTGTAGGATCATCAGCACATTCTTCCAGTCACTTCTAAGAGCTCAGGTCTGGGTTGAAAAGGTCGAGCAACAGCTACTTGAGCAGGTAAACTGTGCAGACTTATGGTTTTTTTGGTTGTGTGTTGATTGGCTTTTGACATTTTCAGTGGTTATGGCATCTACTCAAAATAGGATTTTTAAAACTGCAGTTGAGTCCCTGTGATAAAACTGTGGAGACTTTCATCTTTGAACAATAAACTGCAGGTGACATTTGGAACTCTGGGGTTCTCACTGTGGAATAATTTTTTTAAGTCTTGAAAACCCTTTGTTCTTTCTTAGGCCATTGGGGCATCTTATAAGAGGCAGAAACTGCAAAGTGTGAATACTTCGCTGTGTTTCTTTCTGAAGATGATGTCACCTGAAATAGAAATACTGCTGAAGCCATTGTGTTTCCATTCGATGAACGGTACTCCTGGTATCATAGTAGCAATTCTAGGTAAGACATGAGTATGAATTATGTAGGAGGAAATACTTCCTCTGTTTCTAGCAAATCTGTGATTTTGTAGCAAAATTTTAACATTTTTTAAAAATATTTTTATTCCCAAATTTTTATGGGATCCTCTTCTGTGGTTGCACCATGAAGTCATATTAATGTGAGTTTTCACTACACCAGCAACAGCAGCTGCGCTGAATACAGAAGGAAGAAAAAAATTCCTCTGTTATTAATTGCTATTTGGATGATAGAGACAGGGACTTATCTTTAATCTCAGAGCATTGGCCTTAACTACCTGGTGCAGAGCTCTCTGAAGGGAGCAGACGCTTTCTGTTGGCTTCATGGGCCCAGGGGAATAGCTGGAGGAATGAACTGCTTGACTGAGCAAGTTCACAGATGACGGATAGCTCAGGGGCCTGGAAAGCACACGTCCATCAGTTTCTCACACTGTGTAAGACTCACTCTGCTACGTGACACTTCCTCTTCTCAGGATCGTCTCTATCATGTGCGTTGATGCCATGGTGGTCCGAAAGAAGCCACATAGCCAGGCGTGCATCCTTGTCATCTAGTATGGAGTGCCAGCTGGCATGGAGTGCCAGTCTTGTACGCAGTCACCTGACTAAATCTAAAGCAAAAAGCCCACAGCTATTGTCCGTTTTGTTTCAAATGGACTTCATTCTTCTCCCACTGAAACCTTGCCAGCAGGTTTAGCTGGATGATGGCTCAAAAGTAGAGGAAACAAAAATGAGTGCTTGAACCTCAATGTGGCCTGGCTTGCTGCCTTGTAATGAGAGCTTTCCTTTGAGTTGACCTAATGGTGATCCCACTAAAAACTAATGAGCTGATGAACTACTGCTACATCACGATGAAGATGTCTCTTCAAATGTAAGTCCAAACATCTCCTTTCAAGTACTTTGTGGAAGATGGCGTGTTTTCCACAGCAGAGTGTTTGCCTACAGAGCTTTCCTCTCGCAGTGGCTGAGAGCCAGTTCAGGTCAAACAGGCTCAGACTTCAGAGCAATGGAGATGCTAAGTCAAAAGAAAGGAGAATGTTGACAAAACATCCATTTTTAATCAGGGTTTTGCACTGAAAAATGTGGATTAAAAATCCCTGCTTAAGAATTGACTGCAAAGCTAACTTTTTTTTTTTTTTTTTATTTAAACTTAATTTAAACTGTCTTTCTGTATCACTTCTGGCTACCTCCAATATAGTGCTCACACCTGTGACAGAAAGATATATTCTTTGTTCCTATCTTCTTTAGAGCAGGTCAGAAGGGTGGATGTTTGTGAGAATTCCTTGCAATATTCTTCAAGCAAGATGGTGTTGCATTTTTACCCAAACATGCGTTTCTTTTCTATGCCAAAGAAGCAAGAACTGAAATTGGTAAGGGGGTGAGGGAGGAGGGGAAAGATATGGGTCCTACTGCGGATCCTTGTTCTTTGCAGTATTATTGCATTAGTTAATTTTCTTGTCAACTAGAACATAGTTTGTACTACAAATTTCTGCTAAAGTTTGTATTGCTAAAAGACTACAGGAGGATTTGAAATTCCTCACTTGTTGCTTTGACTAAGTGTTGAGTTGACCAAACATTTCCAGAGGTGAATCTTTTGATAAAATATTGACATTTTAACTTTTGAACAATTTTTTCCAGCATCCATGCAGGCTTCTAGTGTAGGGATTGCCCACTGCTTACCTTTATAATCAGGCAGCTGGACATTTGTCTTACATACTTGGGTCTTGTCATGAGAAACTTCACAGGAACTATGCCTTTCCCTCTGAAGTGCTGCATGCCAAGAGAACTAATGGCGCACACTTAATCCGTGTTCTTGGTCAAAAAAGAAAGAGGCCAAACTACTAGCTTGACTAAAAATAGCCAAATACTAAAAAGTAGCAGACAGTGGAATAAAGTAGATTAAATTAAAAAATAAAAATAAATTCAGTTATCCAAAGTGTTGCAGTACTGGAAAGAGATTTTAGAAAGCATTATGGTTGCTTTTTTAGAAAGCATTAAGCATGTCCTTTAAGGATATAAATCTATAAGGCAGATGTGATTTTTCCTATCAAACCATTACATTTAGAGAGATTTTGTCGATATGTTTGCAATGCCTTGAATGTAACAGCCAAGGCTGTTTACCTAGAATTGTGGAAATACATCCCTTTGCCCTTTAGTGGTGTACTCAGTAGGAGTTAACACCCAGGGGGACTTGTCATCATCTCTGTCAGTGAGTACTTTTCTCAAATGAAAAAAAAAAAAAATCGATTCTGTAATGAAACCAAAAGATTTCCATGTTTGTCTTGGGAGGAACAATAAACAGTGGGCAAAGAAAATCATCTCCGTCTGGAAGAGAAGAAGTTGTGATGGTTTTCATGCTGAAGGAGTACCTCTGCTTTTCATGGAAACCACTGTCGGATCCCAGGCAGAAAGGAGGATCCCTGTGCTAGTTATTCAGAGGACAGAAATCTATTTGCAAAACCCTGCCAGTTGGAATAGGCACAGAAACACCAAGCTTTTGTACAGGTAACAAGGGCACACGCTGCTTTTCAGAGAGTCAGAGGTTTGTTTTCTTCCCACAGTGCTGTTTAGTGCATTGACCATCACCACCCCCGGAGCTGATAGCGTTTCACTCACCCCATCATGGCACACGGTATTGTTTTTCCCACCTGTTGCACCCTGTCAGTAAACTCTTTGTGGTCCTACGATTCCTACGATGTCTGGCACTACCAGTGATACTGTCATTTTAATTTAAATCCTAAATAATAATAAACTGTTCTGTGGTTTGGGAAGCCTTTGTGGCATCCCTCAGCCCGAGCTGCAACTACAAGCTGCCACGCTTGTGACTACCAGTGATAAGCAGATGTTAGGTCACTGCTCAGCTCTCTCATTAAGGCAATTAGTGACCTGTAGAAGATGATCAATCAGGGATTTTATCCATCTCGACGTCGGTGTCTGGTTGCCTGCACCGAAGGATGCTGCTTATAGTCCAGGTCATAATTTCTCCCTTTCCTGCTCATCATTATTATTATTATTATCCAAAGCGCCTTTTTGCTTCTGTTAGCAAAACCAGAATCCCCCATGCCCCAGTTTTAGCAGCTAATGTCCACAATAGGGGCAACTGATCCAGTGCAGGAGTTAAATATAACTGTGTCTAGTGTAAGGAGAAGATTTAATGGGAAATGGTTGGCATTCTTTCTTCCTAAAGGCACAAGGGGGGCGGGGGGGGAAAGACGTACACACACACACACACACACACGCATCCCACAGCGAGGGAAGAGGCAGAGAGCAGGCAAGGCAGAGAGGGAGCCAGGGGAGAGAGAGAGAGAGAGAGAGAGAGAGAGAAAGAAAGAAAGAGAGATCCCCAAAGCAGCCCTGCGCCTCTGAGGGATCTGAACCTTCCAGGGCGCAGCCAGCATGGTGGTCCTCAGCCCACATCTCTGGGGACCTTACCTGCAGCTTTTCTTCTGCTTTGCTTTCTCTCAGACTGCTCACGTTGACAATGTCTTCTCACTTTCAGCAGGTAAATTGCTTTAAGTCTTGTTACTTTTCCTTGCTTGGAGCTCTCCTTGATTCTTGCACTTTCCAGTGATTGGGAACACAGGAGGAAAAAAAAAAAAAATACGACTTCAATTGCAGATCTCAGTGGAGGAATTTTTGCATTGCAGACTTGTTCTGCCACATGCCGGGACATTTGTGTTGGTTGGTTCTTTTTGCTTTCTGCTTTATTATTTCTGGCTTTAAACCCCTCCCTTCCCTTCCCCGGGAGAAATAATAGACAAAATCATCAGCTGCTCTAAAATGCTTTTTTTCCATTGGCTTCTATGGTGCTGTGCTAATTCATGGATCTGGCCCAATTAGTATAATACTTGCACGTCTGCATGTTTCTTTCTATTTTGGATGAGCTTAGGTAGATTACAGCGAGGGAAAGAAAATGAATCTCAATGTATATCTGCTTCTATAAATAAAGCCCTGACCTCAATGAGCGCTGCCGGAGTCCGACTGGATGTTAGCAGAATAAACATCATCTGGCTCTGGCTATGACACTAACAAATACTCGGATGACTTACATAGCAAACAAGAGTCCGCTGCATGGAAAATCCCTGCTAGGCAAAGGCAAAACAAATTAGTTGTCAGCTGAGCCAGGGCACTGGAAATCCCACTTAATAGATTTTACAGTTTCATCAGCAAGACTTTCCTTTAGCTGTGTTCTGTGCAAGGAAAGGGGAAAGTTGGTGAGAGCTCTGACTCCATCTCTTCTTTGAGGAACTTTCACCAGCTCGTGGCAAATTGCCATTTCCCACCTTCTGTCTGTTATTCCGTATCTGTCAATAGAGATGCTTCTAGCTAACATCCTAGATTCCTTCAGGGTCAAATCTGAGACGGTTCAACTGAGATTTGTAGGTCAAGGTCAGCTGTACCTACAGATCTTCCCCACTTCTTTCAGATCAAGACAGTGACCAAAAGGGTGCACATTTTAAGATTGTATGTAAAAACAACCTTAGACATGAATCTAAAGACATACGGCCTTTTTCTCTCTAATGTCTCGGGTGTGACCACAGAGCCAGATAGTTTACATTCAAGGCATTTAAGAGAGAAGGCTGATCAGGAGGGTAGCTGGTAGGAGATGATAGATTTGTGCACTAAATAACAGTAACAGTACACATGAATTCTAAGTTGTTTTTTTTTTTTTTTTTAAATCTTTTAAAATGTGCAGAGCTAGTAGACCGTATTTCACTCCCAATAGTTTGAACAGTCCATTCATTTAAAGCTATTCTTATTCAAATAATAAGATTCTGAGGACCACGAGTAATGCAGATATCCTTTGGGGAAAAGCCCTACAGCATTTAATAACACATCCATTAGAGTTCTGTAGTCATTTCATATAGCTTTTAAGATAACATCTAGAGAAACGTAATGTTCAAAGAAGTACATCCTTCGAAAAACAATTTGATCCATTCTTTTGAATGTTTAGGAACTAATAATTTTTTTCCTATGCTCTATAGGATGCTAAAAAGCATTTACCCTTGTTATTATTTCTGTTCAATTGGGTATACTTTTTCCATGATGTTGAGTTTAGTTAATGTTGAGGTATTTTCTCTGATATATTCCAAATTGCTTTGCAATAACGTATAAGTTATTAGACCTCAAAAATTTTTTTCAAGGGCTTTACATTTATTTGATACTTGTATATGCCGCATAGGCAAACAAGAATTTTATGTTTCCATCGCCTGCATGCTCTGGCCTTTCTCCTATGGCACACACTTGTGTGTCTAGAGAAGCCATTTAAACCGTTCTCTTGAAAAATAACAGTTCAACGAACAAGCCTTTTCTCTTCTGAGGGGGAAGTTCCCATATCTACTGAAAACGTAGTAGAAGAGGCAAATACGAAGGAAAACATGTAGCCTATTATTGTCCACATGGATGCTTTGGGGCAGAAGGGCACTTTAGTATTTCGTCAGCAATTCAACTATGTTAACAAGGAGCTATGAACACCATTTGAATCCCTAAATCTGCACCAGTGAGAAAGCTGAGATAGAGTAACAGGAATTGCACAGCAATAAAAATATTTTACAGCAGTAGTGCCACACGTACAGGTTTAATGTCAAGGATGGTATAGTGTCGAAGTTGAAAGAGCGCTTGGGGATGGCAGGCTAATCTTCCACCCAAATATCATGTTATGAAACAGTAACCTGCCCCTACAGCCCTTGAAACTGGCTGCTGATAGCAGCAGGTGCCGCCTGGTTGCTCTTAGGGCCAAACTCCACTCTTCACAACAGAATATTTTCCATGGTGCAGCCCCCGGGGGTTGCCCGTGAGAGACCCCCCCAGGGCTCCCTAGGCAGCGACCGGTGACGTAATGACATAATAAAAAATTCCTTTAGTCCTTTGATTGCATCTGCATTTTAAGAAACCTCTCTGAAGAAAAAAGCAAAAAGTTCTCTGTTTTCTGGTGGAAATCTCACAGTGGGTACAGAAGGTGAATTAATTCCATTTAAATTCTGGGTTATTTTAATGGTTTCTCAAATGTTCTGTGACTGTCTGCTGAGTCAATTATTTGTATCTGGCACCAAGTTGTAATTTCACATTTAAAGAATGGATTTCAGCACTGTACTTGCAAATTCTAAAACTAATCACATTTAACAGTGAGGATGTTCTTAAACGACAACTTGTCTTTACTTTAGTTGGGAAAATACATTTGGGTATTTTCCAGGTATGTCTGAAAACTTCTGGGCTAAAAGCACTTTTATTTCTCCTCATACATCTTTGCACAGCAACAGGTCACAAATGCAGTTTACAGGTCACAAAGCAGTAACTAGAAAGCGCTTCTGGGCTAAAAGCACTTTTATTTCTGTCCTCACACATCTTTGCATAGCAACAGGTCACAAATGCAGAAGTTTACAGGTCACAAAGCAGTAACTGGAAAGCAAAGATAAACAACCAGTGACAGGGAAAAGTGTTTGTAGAATAATTGGGGAAAGAAGAATAATTTGGATCTTGGTCTGTTTTGCTGCCAACTCCACCTTATAGTCCCATCAGCCTCAATCAACAGCGCATCCCTGTTTCTGGAAGTATTTTGAATGTCATGTGAGCTCCAAAGGGTTGAGTGTCCTGGTGCTGATGCATCATTTCTGGAGGAAATGCTTCAGGGAGTAATATTGCGACACGCTCGAGCATGTGGCTGTGGTTCCACGGGGCAGCGGAGACCCCCAGGGGTAGGTAGCTCAACCCTCCTGCAGACAGCAGGTTTCTTTTCAGGGTAACCTGTCATATCCCACCTTTAAGCCACTGTGTTTATGGTGTTCTTTATAACCATTTTTCAGAGCTCTGCTCTACTGAGATTCCTGCACGGTGCACTTGAGTGGGACATCAGGACATGTCCAGGAGTGCTATTTCACGTTGCAGCCAAGTAGGTAGAAGATCACTGGCAAAGCCCACCAATTATAGGGGAAATTCTTTGAGGAAGACCAGAAATAGGTGAGAGAGGGAAAAAACCCACAGGAATTAACAGACCCCAATCTAGATGTTCTGTGTCTTCCTTTCTCCTCTCCAAGTAATCAACACTTTACTGAAAAGAAAACTGGGGGGCCACTTTCTGTAATCACACAACTGTAATGGTAAAAGGGCATTTGGGGTGGGAAGATGGGTATAGGAAGAATGCAGAAGAGGGCTGAGACAGTGAGTGAAAGAGAAAAGGAGCTGTTAACCATTTTTCCCAGGAACAGGCAAATGTGTACACACAAATGCCTGCACTCGGGGAATGCACACAAGTAAAGGGAGAGGCTTTGTCTAAAGAAGGCAGAGCTACATTTTCAATTTTCTTCTACTCAGGGAAAAGTGTCCATGGATTTATTTCTTTTTTTTAGCTTCTTGAAACTACAAATTTAACAGCTTTTCACAATACCAGAGTTATTTTTTGTGAAAGGCAGGAGAGTAAAGTCAGCTGGGCTGTGAATCTGTTGCGGCTAGGGAGTCATGAGGAATTGATTTAGTCCATGGTAGCAAACTTTCAAAGAGGAATTTGAAGGCATTTCTCTGAAGTCCTTCAGAGTGTGTGGCAACATCCACAGTCTCATAGGGATTGTCTGGGACTGTCTGATCATATGGTGGAGCAACATCAAAGTCAATTACACTTTTGCTCCGCGCCAGCACCGACGGATTATGATCTTGCAGTTGTGGAAGGGTGGCACCAGTGTCTCTCTGCTTTGTGGCTGCTGATCTCACAGATAAAGCGGGAGAGGACTGTGTGGCAGTGAATGATATGCCAAAGTCTTTCGGGCCTGATGCAGCAGCCATCTTGTATTAATCTTCAGGGTTTCAGGCTCTTCTGTGGGTTGTAGGTTCTTAGGCTTTAACACTTAGAGTATTTCTGGTATTGTTCTGGTGTGACAAGCAGTTGAGTTTTATAATCTAGTTCATAAAATGACTGAGATGAGATACTATGATTTACCAGACTGGAACTCTTGTTTCTGGTGTTGTAATTGAGTAATCTGTGGCTTCAGGGGACTCGCTTAACTTCTCTGTGCCTCAGTTTCTCATGCACTGAAGGAGGACAAATAGAGCTGTCAATGTTATTTAGCAGTGTCTAGAGCTCTGGACCTCTGCAAATGGAAAGCAATAGAAGGAAAATTGCACAAAATAGCCCCTTTGTGGTTATTGGGAATTATAAGCCATGGGTTTATTTCATAAGCCCATATTATAACCCACTGAATGTTCCACCCTTCAGATTTCATTGGGATTTTCATGTTCTCATGAAACTGGAGCACAAAGCCAACCCAAGCAAACGCTCCTCTCTCTTTCTGTACTGATGTCAGAATTTTCCTTCTGTAGTCAATCTGAGAGCACAGTATATGACCTTTTGGCATATGCATTGCCCTCACACATGCGCATACACTCAAATGCCTGAAGTATTTGTGTATAGGGAGCAAAAGGCCTTTCCCTCACTTTGAAATCTCACGTGCCCCTTTGCTTCCCTGCGTCTTGCCATTTCTGCAATGTTTTCTAAGGCTGACCTGCAAAGATGCAGCTGCCTACCGCTCTCCAGCCAAGCTGCAAAGGGCTTACCTGAGGCTTCACTACCTGTGAGCATGTGGGAGGTACCAGGAGATGCTGAGAGACTCGGGCTGAATATTAGGTGGGGACGGAGGACAGAGCGTCCTTGCTCCTCCGGCCGGGTGAACACCGAGATCCGCCGTCCAGGCAGCATGCCAGAGTTCCTGCTATTGTCAAGCTTTCTGAATGTCGGTTGATTTTCAATACCTTTAGTTAGTTATTTATTTATTATGACAGCTCTGAGCGTGCGCCCGCTGGTACAGTACACATTACTGCTGCCACAGCCCGTAGCCACTTTGGGGATTAGAAACAGAGTATTTTCAAATTTGTATTGGTTTTTTTCTTGGCTGAAAAGAAACTTGGAGGGTTTCAGCTGGAGATTTTAATTTTCTGTCAGAAGAATAGGGAATTAATTTCTGATTGGTTCGTTTCAAGCAGGAGGAACACAGAAGCAGGGGAGAGCTGGAGTCCCATGTCTCATCCCATAAATGCCACAGGAGCTTCCTGGGTCACTGCCTCCTCCGCACAGGCACCATTACTTAAGCTGAAGGTTTTGATATATTTCTTTGGCGTATTTATATTAGCTTTTATATATATTAGGCCATCAACTATAAGGTCTAAGTTGAAAGGGGTACTGACAGATGTAGACCATTCCTTAACTTGACTGTCTGACCCAGCTCCAGACCTGGGCTGTATTCTCAGCTCTGCTTATATGTGCTCATAGCACATTTTTGGCTCACAAAGCTTTGCAAAATGCATTTTAAAGAAGTATTTATTGTCAGTGCTGACACATGTCTCTGGGGCTTTAAAGGAGGAGAGTAATACCTGTACCTGCTCTGTAAATAAAGGATTTTGACCTGTACGGCTCTCAAAAGGCAGCTTTGACAAGCTCTTAAACTTTACTAACTGAAGAGGAAAAAGCACCTTAGTCACCTTGCAACAGATGTACAGCATGGTACAGGGTGGCTGCTGCCCATGGCACGCTGCTCTCCTTGCAAGGAGGCTGAGAGGAGCCTGAATGAATGACAACAAAGCAGATGAAAGTCTCCGTTTCAGCCGGAGAAGCCCACATTCATTAACTGACTAGTCTGCCCAGCTCGTTTATTATTAATTCTGAGTGCCATCCAAGTGGGAGAAGCACCTGTGATGGGGTGTCAGCCATCAGAGGTTTCCGTCTAGCAGAGTCCTGCCTGGCACAAGCTGGGCAGGCCACCAGTGCTGCTGTCGGGGTGACAAGCCTTTGGATAGCAGTTCGGCTTCCCGTCAGGGCTTGCTGGATGAATGTGGTCACAAATAGGAAGGGAAACACGCGTTAAGTATCATTTTCCTTTCTTGTCCTTTCCTCCTAACAGTTGGCCTACAGATTTAGTTTTTAGGATAAAAGTAACTTTCATGGTTTACTTATGATTTTTTTCAATGAAATCCTATAAATCTAACCTGAACCCAGGGCAGAACTTCTCTGCTACCTCCGTTGCAGCCCAGGGAGTTTGTAGGGTTGAAGGTCAGCTCTAGGATCAACTCTAGGGTTTGAATTCAGACACCTGATATGAGCCCCGCTCTGGAGGACTCAGCCTGGGTGAAGGCTCCTTTATGCCTCTGCATGGGACCATCTCGGATGAGAGTTCCCAACTTCCAGCTATGGTCAAAAGCAAGCAGTCTGCAGGAACAAAATGAAACATTGCAACAGCTTATCTAAAATCTGTTATTTTCCAATGCAACCGTTGCCAGTATACCCATAGATTTATACAGTCACTTTCTTGAATTAGATTAACATATACTCTGGACCATAAAAATAATTTGAGTTTGAAAATGATATAGATTTTATGGTTTAAAGCTGACTATTACAATTTTTATGTTCTCTGAAAACATTTGCCGCTTAGACAAGTCCTATAAGGAGTTTCTTCTTTTTGTCTTCTTTCTCTTATTGAATACGTTCTTTGATATTGAAGCTGTTGAAAGAGCAGTTTCCATATGAGATATGTAAACACGCGCTCTGTGTAGGCAGGGTCTTCACATTTCACAGAAAACTATGGCAGTCCTATTCTTGGACTGAGATTTTTTCCACTGATGGGGACCGGAGTATTTTGAAGCTGTGTTTAGCAAACAAAGCTAACCTGGGGCCTAAAAATATACATTGCATTTGCAGAGAGCCTGCAAGCCTGTCAAGGTAACCCTTTTGTGATACACAAGCCAAGCCAATACTGTAATGTTTGTACATCTTGGATCTATTGCAGTTACGAAATCCTTACCAGTGAAATGCAGTGCTTATTGGAAGATCAAATTATAGCAGTCATACCTACAGCCACTCTGTGACTCACTCATTTTTTTGCTCCCTCTTCTGTCATATCCACCTGCCATGCCTAAGCGTGAGAGAGAGTGACGGAATTCAGGATAAGCCAATACAGGACTTAGGTCTATGTGTCTTTGTATTTTATTGCTTGTGAGAACTGGAGACAGGCGAACTCAAACCTTTGCTACTTTTCAAAGGGCACTGGCATTTGCAGTATGTATTTAAAGCTTTAAATGAAACAATATAGCTCATTTTTTTTAATTATAAATCTGTTTTTTTCTTAAATTGAAGTTTTTGGTTGAGTTTCAGACTTGTGAGGAAAAGTTGAGTCTTCGTTATGGACCCTCTCAAACTTTAATTGACTAATCTCTCAAAGGTATCATCACAAATAGTGTTTTGATAGATACAAAATTCTGGTTAACATAAACTACCCCTAAATGCTGCTGAATCATACTCCTCTGGGCAGCTCTTTTCTGCACATCAGGATTGAGAAAATGCTATTCCCATTAACATGGGATGGTGCAATTAATGTAATACATTTTCTGAGACATTTGAAAAGCTAGAAGTATCTCTGTCCCTTAAAAAACTTGCCTTGCCTTGAGATGTGACTAATATCCAACCTGCTATTGATTTGCACACAAATCTGGCAATTTTGTCGGGTTTGTCTTCCTAGAAACTTAATTTAGAGATTTTCTATTAATACCAGATACTTCACCATAGGCTTTTCTTCCTACTGTATTTGGCTCCCTGCCACTTTCAGTTCACAGACACCCATTCCAGCTGCCACTGGCCAGAGGAAGAAACCAATAGATGTAAATAAATATTTGTTGTTCTTGGCAAAACCTTTGCAGAAGGACCTCACTCTGATTAGAGGCGTATTTCCCAAGGTGTAAGTATATTTAGGAAAAAAAAAAACCATCCTATAAATGCATCATCTTTGTATCCTTTCTCTGTGAATCTTTGGTCACAGCTTCTTATGTTGTTGATGGAAGTTTACCTCTTAGAAAAGGTTAAGTACGTTGTCGAACACAATGGAGATCCTGCCTTACCAGTCAGCTGGTGGCAAAGCTATTGGCTAAATCTGGGTTGCAGAGTATTTACTCTCAGGGATGATGCACAAATCAGAAACAAGGCAACCTGGTTTCAGTCCTGGGGGAAATATGGGCAAATGTGATGTGGAACAACTTCCCACTCTGTTATCACAGAAATGCCTGAAGCGATTAGGTACATGGGGAAGGCTGGTGGGCAACACCACAGAATGCTTCCTGGTGGCACACCGGCTGTAACGGGAACCAGAAGATGCTATTTCTAATACACTTTTGGAACGTGGAGTGGATAAAAAGAAATATTTCAACCTATTTTCTAATGTTGCATATCTGACATTTTCCAAAATCAGCCTGTGTCATAGCCATGTCAAGAGCTTAAAACTCTGCATAGCCTTCAGCACAAGAAGGATCTTGCAGACATTAGGGACCACCTGACTTCTTAAATCCCTGCTTGAAGTACAGTGTTAATGTGAGTGTACAGAAGGATGTAGAAAAATCCTGTGGAATGGAAACTCCTCTTATTCTGTGAGAAATGTTTGTGGTATTCAAGACAATGGATGAGTGTTTGTATTGAACAGATCTCCCTTGTTTGGAACAGAAGAAACAGCTCAACCGCAGAGCATGCTGCCTCCTTGGCCCTCCTCCACCACCCTTGTTTCCACCACCGTACTTCAGGCACGGCTGGAGCACTGTAAGTGCGGCCTGGGAGCTTTTCTCTTCTTTTTACATGAGTTTTTGTGTTTGACAAAGACTGAAGTATCCTCTCAAGCACTGCTTCATGATGTCATTCGGCAAACCTGTCTAGGCTGTGTTGATATGGTCCCGTTAGGACAATCATTCAACATCCCAGACTGGGGTTTGAAGTAAATGTCAAATAGATCAAGGAATACAACAGGGCTGGGTTTGTTCAAGCAGCTAGTTCAAGTCACTTAAAATATTCTCCTTACTCTGTTTTGGGACCTTCTTAAGAATAAGGCAATCCTGAAATAAAGGAGATGGAAATGCAATAAACCAAGAAAGGACAGAAAGACCATTTCTCACCCTACACAGTGTACACAGTGTATTTCAGAGTGTACATTATATATGTGTCCTGTTCACAGAATTCACAGAATTCACAGAATTGTTAGGGTTGGAAGGGACCTCTGGAGATCATCTAGTCCAACCCTCCTGCCAGAGCAGGGTCACCTACAGCAGGTTGCACAGGACAGCGTCCAGGCGGGTTTTGAATGTCTCCAGAGTGGGAGACTCCACCACCTCTCTGGGCAGCCTGTTCCAGTGCTCCACTACCCTCAAAGTAAAGAAGTTCCTTCTCATGTTAAGATGGAACTTCCTATGTTCAAGTTTATGCCCATTTATGCCTGTTTTGTATCACGTTTCCCTTACCCAGCAGGTGAAATGAAGGTCCTGAAATCCTCCTATGGAATCTATTCCCATCAATTCATTTTGCAGCAAGAAAGATGTGTTTGGGTTGCTGGTATGAACATTCACCCACCTAGGCATGTACCTGCTCTATATGATATGTATCCATACACACTTGTTAACATATGAAACATAAAGGATACAATGATATAACACTTATTTCCAGGGTCTGTTAACTCCAATATATTTTCCACTCCAACATAAAGAATTGTTCTACCTACTGAGTAATTCCTATTTCTTAATTGCAAATGTTGCAAATACTATATGCACATTCTACTATATGTAAATTCTGTGATTATGGCTAGTGTTATATAAATAATGATTAGAAGGATCTCTGACAAGCACTAACCTAAGAAAAAATACAGTGTAAAATCCCCCGTTGTCTTCAGAGAGATCAGGATTGAGCTTAGGGTGCTATTCCTCCAAACAAAAGCCTAGTTACCTCCCCTTTCCTCATCTCCTCTTCTCCCTGTGCCATGGTTTCCACAGAAAGGTTACCCAGAGGCAATTTCTCCTTAGGAATGTGGTGTATTCCTTCAGTGATTATGAGGTTGGCACCAGGGTCCCTGAGATGCCTCTAAGCAGCCCAGAGCATAAAATTACCCTTCACACCATCTCCCCCATACAAACTTGAAATAAAACTAAGTAGTTACTATAAGGATGGGACCCATGTGAATTCACTAAAAGCAGTTTGTGCTTTGGAGTCTCTACTTGGAGTTTTTCTGAAAAATGGCTTTTCACTTGGAAGCCAAAGACTAATTCTGTCAACCCAGTGTCTCTGGCTCTGGCTCAGTGTTCATCTGTGTTTCCAGAGGAGATTGCTTTTGTCACAGGACATAAATAAGCCAGCTTACTCATGCAAGCCTAATTTTGAAGTCAAAAGATCAGACATTCATTGATCGTTAAAGGTCTGCAGTGAATGAATGCCTACGGGTTAGTATCTTCTGGAGCGAAGTTCACACTGCCTATACCCTGCTGAGCATAGTCTCTATTATTAGAGCAAAGAAGCTATTTTTGGAGAGGAGCTACTACTTGTAAAGTGTGATGGAGAGAGCAGGGTCAAGTCTAAGAATAGGCCAGGGTTCCACAGTGGCTTGGAGAGGAGGAGGATGAAGCATGGGGCAGGACACTCTGCCAATGTGGTAATGCTAAAGCATCCATGAAGTTAACCTTGTGACAAACCCTAAGGGAGCAAGTAAACTCTCTTGAGGCTGTAGCGTTTGGTGCCTGTTTATTTATGCATTTCTCTGACACGCTATGTATGGCTGCGTGTTCACTCATATCTTTCATGTTACATAGAAGCTGCTTGCCCTGGATATGAAAGAGTTGTGTTTGGAGCTCCAGATAATACAAGCTTCCTCTCTGCCCAAATCGTATTGCCCTGCAGGGCCTCCTGGCCCCCAGGTGAGTGATGCTTTTGTGATTAAACCACGTCATTCTCTCACTTTCTCCAAGGTCCTTACAAAGCTGTAAAACATCTTATGCAAATGCTTTTTACTGCTTAATAAGCATACCAAGCTATGGCTTAATTTCATTTTGATATGACTATGCATAAATCATGTACGCCTTTTACCCTATGTTCTCATCCCTGCCTTGCATACTCCAGTGAGTTTCAACTTCACCCTTCATTTTTGTGGAGTTTTACAGTGGGTAGCACCCATCAAAAGTCTGGGAAGTGCAATCACTTCCTTCAGAGGCTTTAGACTACTTTTTTCTCGTAGGCATCGCCTCAGCCCATGGAGTGGATGTACAAGAGGTGCAATGAACTTGAATGTTAGTGGAGTACATCCCTCAGAAGTAAAATACCTACAGTAAACATCAGAGACAAGGAGGAGCTTCAGGAGGGCAGTGGGATGGGGTTCAGGAGATGTGGGATCTCCCAGCTTGACTTGCAATATCTCTGCCTCCGACTTGCTTGGTACCCTTGGGCCGGTCCTTTTGGTCTCCCATTTCATTTTCTACAATTTGTGCATTCAGAAATCTTCTGAGGGAGGTCAGAAGTCTTCTGAGAAACTGGCCCATCTCTAGGGAGAAGGTTTTTGTGAACATCCCCATAGTGTGGAGAAGATCACCCATCTGCCTTTCTGTTCCAGTTCATTCCCTCCAAAGAAAAACGCAACTTTTCAGGGAGAGGTACTTCCAGTTTCTCCTGGGGCACAGGCAGTCCCTGTCTATGTGCCATGCCTGGTGCTCTGGAACAGTGATCTTCCTTGAGGCACCTGGATGCCGGTTTTATTACGGTACAAATAATAGCAGGCATGGCCTGGGATCTTCACTGCAGCAAAGCTGTGATCAAGGCTTTGGCAGCCTGAGTAGTTAAAAAGCACCCAAACACTGTTTAAAAAGTAAGGACAGTGCATGACAGTAAAGATTCGGTTATGTGGCAAACAGCTTTGCTTTAACTATTTAGAAGTCAATACTTCAGAAGGTATTCGTAAATAGCCTAGAAGATGCAATGTGAAGGCCACAAAGTCTTGTTTTATGAACCTTGAGTTTTCTGTTCTGCCATTTTGTCTTTGCTGAGATGCAGGATGAGGTATACTCATTTAACATGTGAAAGAGGAGGTGTGGAGAGAAGCGATGTGAACCGTTTGTCCTGTCCTGTATTGAGAAAAGTCTTTTCTGCATTATGAAACAGTGCTGCAATGTGGCTGGCCATGATTCAGAGTTGCAGTACATGTGAAAGAAGCAGTTGTCATTTCAGTCTTTGGTAGACTGTCTTTTTTTAAAAAAAAATAATCCTAGACTGTCTTTTTTAAAAGAAAATCCTTTTAATACTATCTCTGACTTAAATTGGAAGAACAGTACTATTAATTCTGTTGTTCTGCAAGGTCCATTGCTATAAATATTAATAATCCTGCATCTAAATGATCTATGATCCCTCCAAGAATATTTTTAAATAGAGTAGGCTGGCAGATTTTATCACCATGGCAGACAGTAGGGTAGGTATAACACGGCTTTGGAATTTTTAATTATAAATTGCAGGACTGTGTCTTATAATGGGACAATGTTAGAGCCAGCAGTCATCTGGGCAGTACTTTTATGGCAATGGTCACTTGGAAAGAAATGCTACCATTACAAAAAAAAAATCTAAGAAGTATTTCTGAATTCTTTCTTCCTGTAGTTTGCATTACTTTCAAAAGAGTTGTGAAATCTCATACTGTTGACTCACAGCTGAATTTTAACACTTTTTCATAAGAAGGAGAATTAGATTTGTAATGATATAACTCAGAGTATAATTCCGCCCATGTGTAACCTAAAGTAAAATGAAAGAAATAAGACAGAATTTGGCTCTGACTCCAATAGGGTGCATTCTGATTTACATTATTGAAAATCTAAGTAACTCTACTGACTAAAATAGCTGTAATAATTTGCATTTGAGGGTACGCTTTGCTCCCATTTGCATCATGTTTTGGACAGTATAAGACAGCCAGGATCCAAACCTAGAGTGAGTTATTTGTACAGTGAATTTAATGCTCCTCTGACGCAGGCTCATGGGATTTTTTTTTCCTTTTTCATTCAAAACTAAAAGGTGGTCCGTGAACTGAAGCGTTACAGAAACAAAACTGTTTTTCAGATTTTTTTTTCTGAAATGGGGTTCAAGGTCTACCTGGATTAAGAAGTCTCCTGAGAGGAGAATCCGCCTCATTTGAGAGAAATATCTTCAGGATTCAGAAGTAGTGGCAATCCTCCATATCCATACCATACTGCAAAGCCACATGTTTTATGCCACTTCCCTTACCACCCCTTTGGCTGACCTCCTTTGCCAGCTGACACCTTGTCTCCATGTCCTCATTGTCACTAATTCTCCAGGACTCCAATAACTTTCATTTGCCCCAGACCTTATTTTCTTGCTAGTTTTCTTCATCTAGATGTCCCTGCACTTCTTGTGTCAGTCCAACTCTCCAGCCTGCTGTACAGCGGTGGCACAGACCTGGCATTTAGAGGCCATGTTCAAACACCACATGCAACACCCCAACCATGTGGGTTTGTACTGTTCCCAGGAGACATTTACAGGGCCATGGGTTGAGGGAAGGTAACCACCAGTCCCTTCTTACTAATGTGTTCGCTTTTCTCCCTAGGGTCCACAAGGAATTCCTGGTATAATGGGACCAAAGGGGGAGAAAGTAAGTTTCTATGTTATGGAATTTGGTATGTTTTTGAGAGGGCAAAGAAAGAGATGGGGGAGCTTGCGTTCACTTTTTTCCTTGTCTATTTAGTTATTGGTGGGCCTTTTGGATGTGGGAATTTGCTTTAATTTGAACAGTAAGCTATGAATATGTTTGAAGCTGCAATTTAAATCATCTTTCAGTGTTCATTTTCAATCTTGAAATATTTTTTATGGCTTCTCATGATAGCTACCTGTGTCTACAGTATGTGTTAAGAAAGCAGCTCAGGTGCACAAGCCAGTGATCTTACTGGTCCAACAGCTTTTCACCGTCTTGTCCCTCTGGGGGGACATGAGGGGCAGAGCTCTCATATGCAGTGTCAATTGTATGGGTCAGCTCACTATATGTTAAGTTATAGTTTCAGATCTGCAAGGCATTTGCTCCATGATGCTGCTTAAAGAGCCTTATACCTGAAGCTCAGCACATAATTACACGCTTTGCTATGTAAGGAGGTGACTATAGATTTAGGGCTGAAAACACAGGAAAGACTACGGAGCTCTGTTAAAGTAATTCTTCTCATTTTACCTCTGGAAGCAAAGTCTTGAACACAAAGATATTCTCTGTATGTATGGTGCCTATGAGACTAACGTATTCCTTTTTCTGGCAGGGGGAGATTGGCAGGCCAGGAAGAAAGGTATGAACAAAGGTGCTGTCTCAGACACCGCTCTAATACTTTACACGTAGCAGCTGAGAGGGGTGCAGACAACAGTTAAATAAAATTCGCTAATGTTGAAGTTTAACCTGTTTGTCCTGCTTCCCCTGGTACCCAGGATGGGTGGTGGGGAGCTCTGGGCGCAGAGCTGGAGAGCTGGGCTCTGCCTCTGAGAGCTGTCCCAGCTGGTTTGAATTCAACAAATTCCCTCAATAAGAGCGTGTGGCTCTGGACAGACAATTAAAACAGGGTGGGAAATAACCTGAGCTATGTCTCTGTGGACAGAGGCAGCAGGGTACGGGAGCTATCATAAAAGGTGTACTAAAAAAACCCAAAGCAAAATCAAACCTTTCACTGCCCCAAAGTCAAAACAAGGCTCAGCCGAATAGCCCAGAAGGAGGAATATTCATTAATGATCACACTCACAGAGTTTTGGCACCAACGCAGTATGCTGACTACAATCCTATGCTTGGTGACATATGAGCCATGATATATTGTCAAAAATATGTGCCCCTACATGTGATGAAACAGAATACGTTATCTCAGTCACTAAGTGCCTCCATTTAATGTAATTAACTTTAAAAGAAGACAGAAATGCAGGATGAAATCAGAGATATGCAGAGAGTAGTCACTAACCAGGAAAAGAAGTACCCTTCTAATAATACACCAAAAGATTTTAACACCCTTCTAATAATATACACAAGATTTTAACACCAGCTACCAATTAGTAATTCAAATAAATACGAAACACATAAACAAAGGAGGTCTTTTTCTTTAACCTAAATTGCCAATGCCCTACAGTAAAACAAAAAATAAAATGACTTCAATAAATTCAAGTGTTCAAAACAGTAATGTCTCAGAGAGAGTCACCCACCAACCTAAAAGAAAGTGCAAACCTTAAACACAATACATCAATACTTACTCTTCTGACAAAAACCAGTATGTCCCAAATGGGAAGTTACCCAGGTTGGAAATAAAACAGTATAACTCCTGCTAAAAGCTGTCTGGTTTGTGGGAGGTCGCTCTTAGCCCCAAATGTCATGTTGACATTTGTAAGATCGTTTTGTCAAGTGGCGTAAAGCAGTGGACAGCAGTAATCTGCAGCATTTTAGGAGATATTCAAAGAGTGATTTACAGGCAGTAATTAAAATAGATAAATAACTGTAGGTATGTAGTTATTGTTAGGTAGCTAATAAAGAGCAATTATAGCTATTAATACAAGAGTGTTCAGAATAAGAATAATAGTAAATAACAGTAGGAATATCTTAGTTAAAGATTTGGTTCTGTTCTTAATGTAAATTGGATTTGTACTCATAATTACATGAAGGTCTTTTTGATTTACATCGTCTTATTAAATGAAAAGAGGATTTAAATTATTAATACTGGGGTTTTAGAATTATCATTTTGGCTGCATGTAAATTTACTCTGTAGCCTATTTAAATCAGTATAACCTGATATTTCTACAGGCCCACGCTTCTTCTGGTAGCATCAACACAAACTGTATTATGAATATGATATAGTATTTTTTGTATTAAAAACCAGGTAAAGAAGCATTTGCATGTCTTTTCCTGAAAAACCTATATTACTCCATAACTCCTGTCTGCAGTGGAGGCCTGTGTGTAGGAATGATGTTAAATGAATCATCTTAATCGATTTTTTCCGTTCAAGGGTAGACCAGGTCCCCCAGGCGTCCCTGGGATGCCAGGACCAATAGGATGGCCTGGACCCGTGGGACCGAAGGTAAGACTAAAATTCACATGAGATAACCTGTTAAACCTCGTGATCTGAACACAACAGTTGTCTCAGGAAGTCTCTAAACTGCTATCTACTGGAGGCTGGGAAGTTGAAGCAGTGCAAGGACACTCTGTGCTTGTACCATTTCTTACACTATTCTGCAAAGGCCTGCCCGGTCTAGGGTTAGGTTACTCCACCTTCAGCCTAGCCCCTATAGCACTTCTTATGTTGATTAAAATCTGCCAATGGGAAATTGAAAATCAGTCTAATGAAGACTCATTGATAACCACTGGTGTCTCACAATCACATGAATCGGTGTTTCAAAACTATTCATCATCTTTGTGTCTTCTCTTTATGATGATCTCTTTGCCTGAGTTTGTACTTCTTGGCAGCATAACTGCGTGTCCGTGTGATCACAGGATAAATACCAGACTGGTATCAGGGGAAAGAGATTACAAACTGTGTGGATCACTGATCAGGTCTTTGAAGTTCATTCCCATACAAACAAACATTCATTCCTATGATTTTTAATAACCAACAGCAGAAGAAATGGCAGGACACACTTTGCTACTGCAGAGTGGTTGCTTCACCTGCATTTATTATAAAAAAGCTGCAGGACAGTCCTTTACTGAATATTACTTTATGCAAAAGCTATACAGCTCTTCACAGGAGCCACACTGTACGAAGTTTCTACTGGGACTTTTGAGACAACTTTTCTTCAGTCCAGTATGCATCAGGCTAAAGGACCACACACAATGTTTAGTTCAAAGCTGCCTTTTCCAGTAAATCTTTGACTCCTCATTTGCTGCATGAAGTTTGGTGCCCCCAGCTCAGAGGACATGATGCAGTAGCTCTTGCTACAGCAAGAATAACAGCAGATGACTTCTGAATTCAAGCCACATCTGGGAAGCAGACCCTCAAGCTCTTCACAGCGTTATGTTAGACGAGAAACATCATATTATAGTGTACAGGAATGTAGGCAAGCAACAAGAGACTATGTACCAAAAAGGAGCCGATGTTTGCTTTGAACTGTGAGATGAGAAATGGTGTTGTCCCAAATGCATTGTGGGAGCAGTGAGGGCAGAAGGAAGGTCCAACTACCTCGTTCCCTCAGTCTGCATATTGAGAGCAGAGCAGTCAGAAAGCTCATTCGCTTGGCCTGTTCCTTGGCTCTGGTTTTACTTATGAAGTCTTCCTCATTTTGATTTAATCTTCTCTTTGTCTGTTATGCTTTTTCATCACACTTCTAGAAGCATCCCTCACCTTGGGTAGTAGGACTGCAAGTTCTACTTGCTATTTAATTCCCATTCTTCTGCTTTTACTGTCTCTTCTGATACCTGTCTTCTCTGTTCTTTAGATGGGTTCCCATTTTCATTTCTTCTGGTCTTCATAAATTTCTTTCCTGTCTGTCAATGAAGGCTCCAGTCAAATAGAAGCCAGCTGATCTCTTTCCTTACTCTTCTTCTGTTATTTGATCTTCCCAAACTCCTGATATTCATCTTCACTGTAGTCATTCACTGCATCTTCTTCTTGCTGTAAATCTCCAATAAGCCCTTGGGTGTTTTTCTTATTCCTATCTCTGTGTCTTCTATTTCTTCAGCTGGTCTCATTACCTGTCTTCTCTTTCTTAGTCACAACCTTGGTCCAATCCTTATTTCTCCTACTTTGTTTCTTCAAGTCTTTTCTGAACTTCTGCCGGGGCAGCAGCCAATGTGAAAATCCTCTCCACTACTAGGACAGTGAAAGCCAAAGGAGAATGAGAGCCAACTGTATCCTGCTGGTGGGGCTGCTGCCTGTCTGCGGGGACTACTCCATATTTCACCCTAGATATAATTAGCTGACAGAAGCCAGAGAAGTTGTTGTAAAGTCTTTTCATGATTTACTGGCTCCAAACAGCTGTAAAGCACATGATGTCTCAGAACTATGATAAAAGTAGTCACTGTGCCTCCCCAAGCCATAAAGGCTTGCAGCAAAATACCTTTCTTTTCTGCAACTCAGTGAAAGTGATGCTGGGTAGAGGCAATGCACCTTCATGCAGTAAAAGGACACACTGCTGCTAATTTGCTTGCATGTCCTTTAATAGCACCTGGGAAAACTGAAGCACAAGTTATACACCCAAGAAAATGCAAATAGAAGAATAAGATAACATATGAGGACTCAGGCAGAATACAATTGCAATCTAGACCTCTGAGTACAATGCTACTCCAAGGTCAGGTTTGTCTCAAGTACATTCAAATATGACCGACCTCATCAGAGAGCCACAATCAATAACTCTCTTTATTGACCCCTTTAGGGTGAAAAGGGAGAGTTGGGTGTGATGGGATTGCCAGGTACAAGAGGACCAATGGGCTCCAAGGTTTGTTAACCAAATGGTGCATTTTCAGACATTGGTTTCTAATGCTCTGCTGACAGCTGCTTCCCTCATGAATTTGCTGGAAAGCATTTATCAAGATATATCGTTTTCTAATCCAGCTAAAAAGATTGCGTTCTCCTTCAAGCAAGATCATGTTGTCTGGTTGGGCTTGGCTGTGTTTTTGGCTTTTCATAAAAATGCTTCTGTGTAAATTACTGTAGTGCAAAAATTTATTTTAAAAGCAAAAATTATATATAATTGTATCCCACTAGAAAACTGGAGTTCTTAAGTTTATCATCTGCAACATTAACTTGTGTCTTTAATGTTTTCCACCCACCTCATAAGACTGTGGAGATCATTTTGGTCCTTTACTAAAACTATGTGTATGTATTTCTCAGGTTGCCCAGAGAGGTGGTAGATGCCCCATCCCTGGAAACATTCAAGGGCAGGTTGGATGGGGCTCTGAGCAACCTGATCTAGTTGAAGATGTCCCTGTTCATTGCAGGGGGATTGGACAGGATGACAATTAAAGGTCCCTTCCAACCCAAACTATTCAATGATTCTATTGACAGTTGGATAGTAAGCACAATTTGGTCTGGATGTTCTAGTATCTGTACATCATTGTCCATAGCATCGCCTCTGCCTTTAAAAATTTAGGCCACAACATTCTAAGGTACTTGAAAAAAATTATGTAATTAGTGTACTCAAATAAAGGACTGGAAAGAAGAACTGAACACTGTTGTTAATTATACGTTTCTTAAAGATAAACTCAGTTTTATAGTAATCTTCACATTAGAGGATTACTTAGGTATAATTTAAGGATGTTTCACAGGGAAAAAAAATTAAGAGGAAGATTATTGCTAAAATTATTTTAGATTATTAGTTGTGGCATCCAAGGCTTCATTCACTTTCAGTTACATTTTATTTCCCTTGTTTCAATTTTAAAAGCAATATCAAACCTGCTGGCTTTACCTGGCTTTTTCACATTGGCTTTTGGGCTGAGTTGTCTTGCCTTTAATTCATATTTCATAGTTCTGTTTCAGTGCAATTTTAGAGGCTATAAATATTCATTTGCATTTACAAGTTGATACAATTAATTATGTGTGCTTCGTTCTTTTTCTTCACTTTAAAATTTGAAAGTCCTGCTTCTTGAGTAACCTTGAAAGCGAGAAGCATTAAAATATCTATCATTCCCTTTAGGGTTTTCCTGGAACTAGAGGAGAAAAGGTCAGTGTGACAATAGAGTAATGTATAATTTAACAATTGGAAACAGTTATGTAAAAAAAAAAAAGTAACTGTAGAAATGAGACTGAATTTTGATGGCGTGAAATCTAAAGGTCCCACTGAGAAATTAAAACAAGCATTGAGAAGGAGCACAGTCTTGTGGCTTGGGCTGGGACGCTAAAGTGAATTTTACACCCCATCTTCTTACGAACAAGTTACTAGAGTGCCCCTCACTGCAGTTTCCCCATCTGTAGAATGGGTATAATAACCCTTAATTGTTGGTTTGGTTTATTTAGGCTGTATAGGAACAAAGACAGTTTTTACTGTAAGACTATACAGTGGGACCCGAACTTGGATGAAGCCAATTGGGGAAAAAAATGAACTTTGGAAGTATTATGTCCAGGAAAGGTGGTGTTTAAAGTAATTATCTAGGGAGAATTAGTTCCTTTTTCTACAAGCCTTTCTCTTAATTCTGTTATAATGTCAATGAAAGCAATAAGGAAACATTTGAGGGTATCTACCATACGCCTCACTTTGGAGATATTACTGTATTCTGTGTGATTCCAAATAATGCCTCATGTAGGAAAAGTATTTTTTTCTTCTTGTGAAATGGTAGTAATTAAGCTGTTGTCACCCTGTTATCTCTCTCCAGGGATCCAGAGGTGACAGAGGTGACAAGGGAGTCAAAGGAGACCAGGTAATTTTCTTTTCCAAAGGCCAAGAGCTTTAGCTGAAAGTGCATATGAGGTTTAATGTACTTCTGATAGCAAAAAAAACAGGAGCGGTATGAAGGAAGGGAGCCTCGAGGCATCTTCCTGGGAGGGCACGAATGATGAGGCAGCAGTCCTTCCTGAGAGGAGGGCGGTGGGGCAGTCTCCATGTCCGCATGCCCCCCCGGCCCCAGCGTGTCAAAGGGTGATGAGGTAGAGGGGGATTTCCCTGGAGGTAACCTCAGTCTCCTCTGGCCTGTGCAGTCCAGAAACACAACAGCTTGCCAAAATGTTTTTGGTTGGTCATATGATAATGCTGTGAGGGGGGAAAAAAAAATAATAAAAAAAAAAGGTAGATTCTTGACTGGGGGGTTCCTTTAACTAAGAAAGGAAAAGTAAACCACTTTTGATGTAAATAGAGAAATGCCAAATGCAGGCTTTGAGAGTTGTCCAGGTAGAAGGGTTGCTTGTAGACAAAGCACAATCGGGATGTTTTTGCCGAAGGAGAGGAAGCAGACAGCAGAGGATCAGACAGAGGAGTAGTGTTACCATACAAGGGGCTTTACACAAAAATTTTGCTTTTAATTCTCCACCTACTGCATCACCCACGGTGCTGAATCACAGTGCAGGTTTTTTAACCAATATCAGTACAGTACATGGCACTTGATTTTCTTCCTTTCAAGGAAGGTGTTGCTTTGTCAAAGATCATTCCAAATTTTTTGAATTTTTTCTCCTTTTACTTTGTAGGGAGAAATAGGCTTCCCTGGAATGCTGGGACAAAAAGTAAGTGGGCATGATGTACTGGGGAGTTGTGTTAAGTGCTGGCAATAAGGTCAGTGAATGGCTTCAGGGACATCCTGGAAAGTATCAGGCATTGAAGGTCTTGCTTGACTCAACAGTCAACCCTTCTTGGACTTGATCTAATTCTTTAGGCTTTTTATCTCAGGAGAAAACTCTGAGATGTAGTTGTTTGTTCTTGTTTCTCTTTTTTCCCAGAACATTTCTTTAGTCAGAATCTTCCTCCTGTTTAACATGTTCAAACCCTTCATTATAGATTCATAACTGGCCTAATTGTTTGGGTGTTATCCACTTGAAGATAAATATTTCCTTCTTGATACTCTGAATCGAAATGGCACTACTATAAATAGCAGTGGTAATCCTGACCAGTTTTGATATCATCGTTATTCTGTACTTAAAAAACAATCACAATTCAGATGTTGTTTTACAGACAGAATTCCTAAATTATGATAATTTTATGACATAATCGCATCTTATCTCTGAAATTAGGATAAGGAAATAATGGTTGCTTCTAAGGAGGCTAGAACATGAGTCAATTCACCTTCCTTTCCCCGAGTGACTTTATTACACACGCATCTTAACCACAAAGCAAGATATTGCCAAAAGGGACCCTGACCTCCCCAAGTCTCCGAGAATATTTCAGTTCTCCCTATTTGGCTTCCTCTTTAGGAAAGGATTTTTCAGGGAAATTTGGGTAAATTGTGAGAGATATTTTTCTGTGTATGCTTGCTTAAAATATTTTATTATAATTTTGATGTTCTGACAAAAAAATGGCGCCAGCATTTTTCAGAGTGAATTACAGCACTATCCACCTGCTGTCTTGTATAAGGCAAGTATAACCATGGTAACGTGCGTTTATGTACTTACGTCCTGCTTCCTTCCCTCCACACCCACCAAGGGAGAGATGGGCCCGAAGGGACAATCTGGAGTACCAGGACACAGAGGACCTATAGGAAGACCTGGAAAACGAGGCAAACAAGTAGGACCATGGTGTTTCCCCTTCTCGTGACTCCTGGTGTCTGTGTGGTCGTGGCGTACGATTGGGTGGTCTGTGTTCTCATGGTACTCTGCACTTTGTCACAGAGGGACTTGACAGAAGTCCTGGAGCACCTCACATACATGCACAGGCAGCTCAGGAGTTAAAGCCTCAGCTTTAGGGCTGGACCCTTATCTGCAGCATTCAGCTCCCTGGCTGTGCCACATGGGGAAAATTGTATTTTCCCTGGCTTGGTAATGAACTAATTGAATATAACTTGAGCAGACCTCGAATGCCTCCTTTGAACCCTAAGCAACACAGAGCTATAGTCCCAACCCCACCTGATGGATGCCTAGAGAGCTGGAGCAAGGTCCAGGTCTCAGAGGGTGCAGGATCTAACACCGTGGGGCCCTACACTTTGTAGATCCCTAGCCCTGAGGCTGACTTAGCAAGCAGGACTGCTCAATTTATGGGCAGCTTGGTCGGCTGCAATGGCAAATGGGATATATCCAAAATTCAACACTTTTCAACCTGCCCAGGTGTCATTGTCCACCCCTAGCAAAAACAGGTGCCTGGGATGACCAAAGGAAGGTTTGTAGGAAAACACTGGAGTTCTGGGGCTCTGAGTGAGGGAAGGATTGCTGTAGATGCTACAAAAACCAGCCCCGCCTCTCCTCAGCTCTGGGCAGAGGGACAGCGTCAGCATCTTGCAAGGGACATCCCATTGCCTGTCCATGAATTTTCTCTCTGGCTCACCAGTGCAAAGAGCTACAGTACCTCTGCTAGCAAAAACACTGCTTGCGTGCACTGGCAGTAGCCGCCTGTATACTAAGAATGGTATGCTGTAATGGATTAAATTGGTGTGGTCTGTGGCCATGAAAGCCACTGGTCTATACATTCAAACCTCAGTCCTGTATTGCACCGTAATACACTCCTGGTTTCTAGCACATGCAGTTAGTGTGCATCCAGAATCTGCTCAGGCCCGCCTGGAGGATGCTTTTTGTCCACACAATTTGGTTGAGTTAAGCTTTGCCCAGGCCCAAGTGTTGGTCAACACGAATCAGCTTGCAGAGCCGCAAGGCCTTGGAGATGTCCCACATGCAATGCAAAGAACCAAAGCACCAAAACACCCTCTTTGTTTCTCTCATTTCCTCTGCTAACACTAAACCAAGATTGATTTTTTAGACTGGATATTTATATGACGCTTGTCACAATAGTACTGCATGCCAGGGACAAATTCTTCTGTGCTGAGAAAGGTCAGGAAGACACATAGTGACCTTAAAGGATGGTAATCTCATATGGAAGCTGTTCAGGAATGGGATGGTTGACAAATGGTCCTTATTTAGATCTTAAAATAATTAAGCTGGCAGAACTATTTTTTCAGACTTTCAGATGAATTGTGAAGACCAGGAATTGTGTGTAAATTTAATACTGACTCCTCCATTATAGCATTTTCCAAGGATAAGGTAGCAATATTGGTATAGTTACCTGTTCAAGTTACCAAATAGGCTTCTTTCAGCCGATGTTTCCTTGTGTATTTATTTTAAGCAATGATATTGGGAGTAACAGGGAGACCAGTTCCTGGTGCTCTAAATTGCCACCTGCAGAACCTGTTTCTTTCCTCTGACTGAGAGGGAAGGGAACCTGTTCTAGCTAGACTGACTTTGGTGTTAATGTGCATCTGCTAAGGTACAGGAGCTTGTAGATGTGGTGGTTAATGGGCTCTGCTGAATGATTCATTTGCAGTCTGGCTGTGCCCAGCATTGCAAACAGAGACACACGCCTGCTTCACCGTTGGTCTGATGCCATCAGCTAATATCTGAACCGAAAGAATAGCCAGTGTGGGGAAAAATTAAAAGTTGGGTGCTAGGGAGGGAATAATAGGTCACCAAGTAAGGAAGGTTATGTGCAATGTAAGTCTGCTAGAGGACCCAAAAGAATTATTTTTTTGTCTTTGATCTATCAGGTCTTAAAAGCTGATATGTCCTTTTTGCTTTTTTTTTGTTTGGGCTTTTTTTTTGTAAACTGTGCTTGTCTGTCCTGCCAAAAGTAATGAGCGTGTGCACAGAATATCTTTCTGCAGTGTAAGGCAAAGAGGACATAGCACCTGCAGATCAGCTTCAACACAGTGCACTTCTTACTTGACTTCAGACGTTTTGTTAGATTACATAGTGTCTCAATTGGAAAGCGGTGACATAAGGCATGTCATAATTTAAGGCAACAACCAGTGTGACTAAAAGAATTATAGTCTGGCCCTAAATTATGATTTCTGGGCGCAAGGCTTAGTACACAACCTCTTCCTTGGTGCCCTGAAAGCAATTTCAACATTGATCTTCTGCAGGAAAACTGTGTTTCCCTCTGTAATTAGTGAACTAGATATTTCCTTTCTTCTTTTTCAATCCTTTGAAAAAACTTGAGAGTGGGGATTTTAAGGCTCTGTGGGTCTGGCCACTGCCTTTAAGTGCTGTAGTTACCCTCTGGCTGTTTGTTCAGCTGAGAGGATAGTTTCCATCAACATGGGGCCATTTCCTGTCCCTTGATCCAGCTGACATCCCCAGATAAAAGCAGCTAAATTAGGAAGGTGTCACTTCCACTTCCATTTTGAGATACGTCTTGATTATCTCACTGACTTCTTCAGCTCTCCTCTGCCTCTGGGGCAGGCTCTTCCTAAAAGGTGGCCAGGAGGTGGGAGTCACAAGTCACAGCCTCACTGCCCTCAAACTGGGATATAACACCCAAAGGTTTGTAACTTGGGAACTGACCCTAAGGCACAATTTTAGGGTTTCAGCCTTGGTAAGGAGGAATGACTTAGAGCTTTAGATAACGTTATTTTGAAAGAAGGGAGAGGAATATAAATATTGTCCATGGGAAAAGCTTTTCTGAATGCCATGGGTACATGTGAAAAGAAACAAGGCAAAAATATTTAATATAAATCTCGCCTTTATTATTTAATCTATCTGTGCTAAACAAGAGAGCATTAAGTGATCATTCCTCCAAAGCAGAAAACCCATCAGACAGCTCGTTTTCAGGCAGTACATGTCTGACTGGCACTGGCTTGCCTCTGCCAGTTCGCTGCTGTGGGGGGGAAAGAGATTTCCCACAGACTTCTTTGGGGCTACAAAATCCTGGTCTGCTGGTTCTGTGTCATGTAACATAAGAAGTAATTAGGGATCAGCATCACTGACATTCACATAAATCCTGGAATATTTTGATGGCACAGAGCTTACCTAACAGGATTAAGCAAAGCAAATATTCAATTAGTTCTTTATGGGCCATGGCAAAATCAAGCTTCTTCTGGTGAAATGGTCAAGTGACATTCAAACATATCCATGGGATGCAAAATGTTATATAGCAACAAATTATTTTAGCATATATTACTACATATGCTTCATTACTCTGAAATTAGACATGTAACCATTCAGCATGCACCTGTGAATGCACATTAACTTGGAATTACTCTATCCTCAAATAATTCATCTACTTTATCGTTAAAGGAAAGCTTACACAGTACACGTCATCTTTGATATGCTAAATAATGTATGCGGCTACATAAAAATCAAATCAGATATGTAAGCTTTAAGCTATGTAATACCCTTCTGAAATTTAAAGCTGAGAAATCTAAGCCTTGGAGAGTATATGACCAGGAGGGTAAATACAGTTATTTTTAATAAGTGTCACCATATTAAATTTAGGAGCAAAAACAGGAAGGTACTGAAAAGTTCTAGGGTGCAACTTCCAAATGCCTAAGGGTATGGCTGCACAAACAAGCTCCCATGAGGCAAATCAGGGCTTATTTTACAGAATATTTAGCTATTGTATGGTAACTGTGTGTAAGCTCATCTCCCATAGGTAATTTTACAGCATTTTGACTGAGTGATGGATAAGGTACCAGAGGGACACCATTTATCAGCATGGTGTTGCCACACAGGAGCTTTCACTTTGTAAAGCCAAGCCCCTGCTTGCCTTGCGATGATTTGTTAACAGAGCTATACCCACGGTGAAAGTCAAGGAGATACCGGAGTCCAGGCACCTAAAGTACTTATGAAAACAGCTCGGGCCTCAAAGTCATTAGTGTGCTTCTGAAAGACTGCACCCTAAGACTGGGAAATGTCACTGTGGAAGCCCTTGCCAACTCCTTATTGAATTTTCTTTTTTTTTTTTTTTTTTTTCCCCCATTGTGTATTAGTGCAGTAACTAAATATTTCCAGGGTCACCTATTTCAGCTTCACCAGCCCTTTTGTTCTGAGCTTCACTGACTCTTAGAGAGCTACCAGGGGTAAAAAGTCACACTTAAAGAAAGGCCACCAGAACAGGGTGATTCCTGACTCCATACAGAGCAGATCTGCTGAGACCATTCACTTTTAGGAGCTGAAGTCCTGCCTGGACGTGCTTTTCTATCTCCATGTATAAAAGGACAACACCTCTTCCCTGGGGTGGTGGCTACGTATTTCATGCTGCACACTCCTATTGGCAAATGTCTTGGGTCTCTTGAAAGGGAAACCAGTGCTGGCTGGAAGAGGTTGTGTGTTATTAATAGTTTAGCAAATAAACGGATGTCTCCTCTCTCCTAGGGGCTAAAGGGAGACATTGGACCTGCGGGTGTCATGGGTCCACCTGGAAGGCCTGGTCCTTCTGGCCAGCCAGGCCCTCCTGGACCTTCAGGATTGGGTAAGCAGGAGATCGGGTGATTTCCTAAACAGCGTCCCTGCTCCCCAGCCCTTCCTCACTCATCGCGTGTGCCTACATAGGCCCCTTTACAAAAAGTGCTGCAGGACTTCATTTGCTTCTCCACTGACAGCAAGGAGAGGATTTCTCCTGAATGCAGATCATGCCATCCTTGTCCATTATAAGGACTACATACATTACTTTAAAGCCTACATTATGGCTTCTGACGTTTCAAATGAAACCAAAAACATGACCTGTGGGACTTTGGTAGATGGGGATGATGAAAAGCCGTCTGGCAACCTTGAAGGGACTCATTAATCTCCATCATCAAAGGCCTGCTGCTTCTCCAGATATCCTGGCTTACAGTGAAAGATTGTGATTTCTAATCATCCAGAACATACGCACCCTGTGCCGCTCTGTAAAATAAAAACAGATGAGACTCAAGTCACAATAGCAGTAAGGAAAGAAGGGAAGAGAAGGAAAGGGATAGAAGTCAGAGGGGAAAAAAAGGACAGTGAAAAAAAACCTTTCTCTTTTTAGTTAAGTGCTGTAGATCTGTGCTCACTGCAATTGTGCATATTGTAGAAATCACAAGAAAAATCTTCTAACTGGTAATTGTAGAGCTTCAAAGCTATACAAGCCCATGTACTCTGGGCAGCTTGTGGTAAACATGAAGGACAATGCACAACCCACAATGTTCAGTGACAGTGAACCCTTAGGTAGGGTTTTCTCAACCTGGACGTATACTAAAGTACCTGAAAAGAAAACCAAAACCGGTTGGAAACTACTGTTGCCTCAAACAGACAACAGCTGCTTGCGCTACAGCCGATCTGTTCCATGTCCTCTTCTATTTTCTTTCCCTTTTTCTTCCCTGGCTTACATCAGTGGGCAGGAGGTCTCTTCTTGTGGTGGTGTAGAAATGCTACATCTGTGAAGCTGGGGGCTGCTTCAAAATTGTCCCATATCTCATGTCTCCCATTATGAAACATCTTTGTCTTGAGTAAATTAGCTGGAAGTTTTCAGAGGGCAGAATTTTCTCCAAGCCAATGGGAAGGCAGCCAGGTTCTTGAGATTACATTTTAAAGGCTTTATTCCATCCATAGAAAGTTTATGTGTCAGGCTTGTTAATCTTTTTCCTCTAGACTATAAATTCTGATCCTAAAAGACTTTTCTGTAATGATGTCACTGTTTGCAGTATGAACATGTTGGCTCATAGTCTAATTCTGCAGAGTAGCGCATTGTTGCCAAAGTTTGAAAGTCAAAGAGCAGTATTTTTTTTATTTTTTATTTGTAGCATTCCTGTATTTCTAGATGGGTTTTCCTGTACAGAAACCTCTGAAAAAGCATTGCTCAAGTGGCTGTACGAATGCACAAGTCCAATACGTTGTGGATGTATGCAGAGTCTGGCTCTACTAAACTTCGTGCATAGGTGCTGTAGAATGATCTGTGTGTTCATCATGTCCTGAATTTCCACAGCTTCAAACAGGCTGACATCTATTCTAAGCAAATGATCTCTCTCTTTCTCTGTAAAGTTGGTAGGAAAATTTAAAAAGTGATCCAAAACAATATGACTGTGGTACAAACTCAGGTCTTTCTCCTGATGAGCTGGAATTGGTGGTTCTGGCAATCCCTCCTTCAGTTCCCAGTGGATGAGGTGGGAGATGTGCATACCTGAAAACTTAGGTAAATGCATATATCTACCTGACCTGTACTTTTTCCACTAAGGCAACATTTGTCTATTATTAGCTTCATAACAAAGCAACCTGGTATTTTGCTTCCTAGGGCAATTCGCAACAGGACCAAAAGGGGAAAGAGGACTTCCAGGGCCTCCAGGGAGATGTCTCTGCAGATACCCACAACATGTGAATAACCCACCCTATGAGGAACCTGCGTTTGGACACAGTTATCCGAAAGTCCCCGCGGTAAGCAGATTACATGGGGGAGGATGCGAGTGATTTTTAAATACTTTAATTATTAGAGGGGTTGTATTCGCAAATGGTTTGGAGTTAAGCTGTCTGTATGTAGGCAATGTGTTAGTTCTAGAATCCACAGCCTCTGAGATCCAGTCAGTGCAAAAGAGTCTGGTCTCATAACTAGTCTGAGGGTTGTGTGTTGAGGTGCTGAAATGCAGCTGTTTCAAACCATCAGCGATGCAGCACATGTTTAGAAACCTTTTTACAAGTCTGAGGATGCTCTCTTCCATCTGCTACTGCACATACATCATCTGCTCTTTTTGTTTCAGTCAATTGAAATGTATTTCAGATTGGTCAGAGAAGGAAGCATCTCTTACTTGCTTATTTTTGATATCTTCTTCTGCAAAGACAGTGATTTCAGAATTGAATATTGGGGTCAAGCATTTTGCGTATAAGATAGAACTTTCTCCCAAAGCACAGACCCTCCACCTTGAAACAAAAAGGATTCTCCACAAATGATGGGAGTCAGACTTCTAAGCTCCTGTCTGCAGACATACACTTTATACAGCTAATTTCAATCTCTAGCCTTCTGGCAAGCATTTTTACGAGCAAATTGGACAAAGTACTTTAAAGGAAAAGACATTGCTGAAAAGGGATCTATCAATCTTTCATCTCTGATTTCTCTGGGCTTTGTAAATACTGTTTCTGTACTTCTCCTTCCACTGGGCCCTGCCTTATTATTGTGTGCATTGTAGCACTTAATCAGCAATGAAAATGCTACCTTGCTGCTGTGTACCGGCATGGCCCAGCCACTCCACTCATGCAAGTGGGTATTGCGCTGTGTCTGGTCGTCTCTGAATGACAATAAGCAGCGATTAGCTTTGTTAACTTTCTCATCTGTCACCTTGTCAGAAAGCTGCTACAGTGTGTGAAAGGGCCATACTCACCACACTGTCCATTAAACTGGGTCATTGAACTCAATCTTCTGCATGAGTGGGTGGCAAGACTTGTCAGCTGCTCGCTCATCCTTGCCTGTGTTGCATTACAAAAAAAGCCCCATTATTTTTAAAACTCGACGGTGAGAGAAGAAAGTGCATGAAATAAAGATTCATATCACATCATGCTGCACACTATTGCAATGAACTATTATGATGTACTTCATGGCATAGAGAGCTCATAGGACAAGGTATACGGCTGGCAATGTTCTGTGTAGGTCTTATGACCCTTCTCCATCTGGAACAGTTCCATGTTAGATCTTAAAAGGTGGTAATGGGAGTGCAACTACCTAAAATATAATACCCTACACTATCTCTGTGAACCTTCATTTGATGATGATCGAGTGCCATTTCTGTTCTCAGAAATGAGGGGTGGCAGAGAGGCAAACCTCAGCTCTGAAAGGGGAGCACGTGCAGAGCACCGCTTCCCCTTTGCCCTCCCCACTTGTTTTACTCTCAAGTGTCAAAAGTGGGAGCTTAAACATTGCTATTATTTATTCTGTTCAGATCCCCATGTAACAGCTTTGAAGCCTGCCTTGTACCACTTGAAAACTATGGTCGGGGTTTCTATAGCTACGCATGGAAACGCCCCAGAGACGGTGCTCTGTGCCCCCAGCCCCCATGTCGCGTGGTTCACCAAAGCAGCATCCCACCGCAGCATCCCACTGCAGCACGTCCCTGCTGCAATCACTCACTCGCCCATCAACTCCTCCAATGCCAGCACTGGCAGAGGAGGGGACAGGCTAGGAAACAAAGCACTGGTTTTCTGCCACTCTCTAAGGTTCATTCCAGTTTTTAAATCTTTTGCAATTTCAAAGGCCACTATCTGTAACAGAGAGTTTCAGAGAGCACAGATATGCTATTGATTTCAAGAGAAATTAGAGCTTTGGGGCTGAGACTTGAGCTGCTGAACACAATTACAGAATCAGTTCTTTGCTGGCTTCCTTTGCTTGCTTTCATTCAAGCTGAAGGCATTTTTATTCAATGCTTCTTTAATGAAATTGGCCTTTGTCAGGGGCTATGGGAATATTCTGCTATGTGAAAATTTCAGAGTATCTCAGGGTTTTAAAAAGAGCCAGTTCTGTTTATGCTGGTGGGAATCAGGCTCAGACCTAAATCCATTTTGCTCAGAAGCACTCCATTTGCTTTTTCTTAATTTAAAAATGGTTTGAATCTTGCTAAAATTAATTTGATTAAGCTGCAAAAGGAAGAGATCATTTCCTAATGCCCCTTACAGCCAATTTCAGCCACTGAGACATTAAAAAAATGGGTAAGAGAACAGCTCATCCTAATTTTTCCATTTTGAACTAGTTTTTTTTCTGTTTAATTGAAGACTTGGCCTTACAATAAAGTAATGCACATAAAGAAACATGCATTTCAATGACATATTAAATCTAAACAAAGTACAAAGTAGTAAAAGATAAGTGAAGGTTGCATTAAGCAACTCATTATTTTGTGGCCATGAGCATGCCTAAAAAATTATAGCCAAACCCACAAAAAGCACTTATGCCCATATGGATTTAGTGTTTGAGCAACTTTTTTTTTTTTTTTCTTAGCGATGATTGTGCACGAGTATTTGCATGATCATTACCTGTGGATGTACATTTTGAAACAGGGGCCATTGGAGCCATAGACCCGTGCCCAGGAAAGACCATTCTCCTTTGGAAACTTGTGCCTCTTCTTACCAGTTGCAAAGGAGCCTCTTATGGTCTGGCAGTCCATGGGTATAAGTTCTCAGACCATTCTGTTTCTGAAAACAACCAAACTATTTTTTTTCTGTGCAATTATTTACTTATTTGCAGATACATACGCCAGTTTACAAAACTAGGTTATGTGACAATGCAAAATACATCTTGAGAGCATTACCAATCACCTCTTTTTCTGTGCCTCAGATTTTTGTAGTGAATAATCAAGAAGAATTGGACCGGTTAAACACTGAAAATGCCTTAGCTTTTAGAAGAGATCAGAGATCTTTGTATTTCAAGGATACCTTTGGATGGCTCCCAATCCAGGTGAAAATATGACTGTGGTCTCAGAAAACTCGTGAGTGTATGTTTCATTTTTAAATACAGTACATACTTCTGTACTTAAGGTGTCATATAGAATCAATGAAGCAAGTGAGAAAAAGCACTTTTTTGACCACTGCCACAATTGTACCTAGTTCTGTGACTTTTGTTCATAGGACTCTTAATTACTGAGGCATTAACTAATCAGTGTTGCAGGTTTTGCTAAAGTCCCTGTAAACCAGGCTCTACTGGTGAACTCGTGCTGAGATCAGGGAATTACGATAGTAAAGACCATGTTTTATTTGACACAAAATAAGACAAAACTCACCACGGTCCAAAGTTGCGGGAAGACACAAACCCTGCAAACCAAAACCACATAGTGGTGCCCAGTGATAGGACAAGAGGTAATGGGCACAAACTTCAACATAGGAAGTTCCATCTTAACATGAGGAGGAACTTCTTTACTTTGAGGGTAGTGGAGCACTGGCACAGGCTGCCCAGAGAGGTGGTGGAGTCTCCCACACTGGAGACATTCAAAACCCACCTGGACGCTGTCCTGTGCAACCTGCTGTAGGTGACCCTGCTCTGGCGGGTGGGTTGGACTAGATGATCTCCAGAGGTCCCTTCCAACCCTGACCATTTTGTGATTCTGTGATTTCCTTATTGCTTCAAGGAGCTAAGCTAATTCCCGCTGAAATCAGCAGCGGGATCCTTCTTGTGTCCACTGGACTTTGAATCAGATTCTCTATAAACCCTGTGAACCACCAAGTAGCAGGGTATGAAAACCCCGTTGCAGGATCTGCCCCCCACAGCCCTTCAGCTCTGCTTGCTAGCCAGGCTGCTCGTGGTGAGCTCAGTAACCGCTGTGTGGTTTTTTGGCCAGCTCACCCCCTTCTATCCCGTGGATTACCGTTTTGAGGCTGGTGGTACCTGTGGAGATGGGATCGTACAGGACGGGGAAGAGTGCGACGATGGCAACGCGGTTGTGACTGATGACTGTATAAGTAAGTTACAGCATATCACAGCAGCCTCTTTGTACCAGGGAGGGTGTGTTGGTTGTTTCCACAGGGTACACCGCTGTGTAAATCACACAGGTGTTTCTCTCAGGGGAGCTTGCGTAGTTTGTGGATCAAGTTCAAGGCACTGGGAGAGGGAGGCACAATGGCCATAGTCTGATAATGAAGGTCCGTGCGTGTGGATGCCATGCACCAGCACAAGACAGAGGTGATGCCAAGCACTTCTCATGCATCCTCACTGAGGACCGCATACCCCACTGAGCAGAGGTGTCTGCAATCAGAGCAAAACACTGCTTTTGGGGGGGCCATAGTCTGATAATGAAGGTCCGTGCGTGTGGATGCCATGCACCAGCACAAGACAGAGGTGATGCCAAGCACTTCTCATGCATCCTCACTGAGGACCGCATACCCCACTGAGCAGAGGTGTCTGCAATCAGAGCAAAACACTGCATTTCAGGGGCCAAATCCAGCAGCTGGTTTACATACACACCTTCCCTGGGGGCTGCCGGCTTTCTGGCCAAAAGATGTAACATCCCTTTGCAGTGCACAACAAAACGCCGTTGGTTAGATGCTGAAGCTGGCTGTTTCTAATAGTAAGCTAGATCCTGGGTTCAGTAAAATCTCTTTGGATTTTGTTTTTCACTTGCCGGAGGAAGGTGTCAGCCCGCTACTTTCACTATTAAGTTTACACAACATTTGGTTCCTGTCTAGTCAAGCTTCTTTTCCATTTTGCTGGTTGTGGATAGTGAAGAGCATATAAGCATTCAAGGAGATGTGGCTACCTTCACTTCTACCTTTCAGTTTCTTTTGCCGCTTGATTTCTTCCCCAGAGCGCAGTGCTCTACACCACCTACAGTTGACATGCAGCAGGTTTGGTACTCTGTTGGTTCTAGCAAAGGGATGGTTCTTCACGTTTCGGAACAGATATCAGCCAACATTGAAGGATGAAATTTTTCTTTATTATTTATATAGCCCTCTGTCTTTTAGCCTGACTTTAAAAATGAGGTGTATGCAGCCACGCTCTGTGTGAGTTTGTCCATCCACCTGCCAGTCACCACCCTTCCCCTTATAACTTAGGAATCCCAGCCAACTTCTCAATGACAACAGGAAAGAGATTTCAATGGCAATTCAGTTGCAACACATATAGGGAGACATATAAATAAATGCCCCTCTAAGCTTGCCTGACTGCAGAGTAATCCAGTGAAAGAGCATGAGCTCTCCAGGCTCCGAGCATGAGAAAAATGATTCAATTAGAATTTGCAATCAACCATAGGAACAAGCATGCAGGCAAATTGTGTTCATTAGTTCTAGTGCTTGCAAAATTGTACACTGTGTGTCTGGAGGGACATTGTGTTACTTTGTGCTATACAGTTCAGGTTGATCAAGGCTTTGCAATACAGAGATTTCTGACACTGATGTGACCCAAAGAGTTATCATTGAGCTACTTGGAAATGAGCACATTGTCATCATTCAGCTCTTGTGACTGAACCAAAAGAAAAAGGCTAACCAAGTGCTAAGTGGATTTAATTGTAAAATAAGCTCGTTCTTAGAAGCATCAGTTTCTAATAAACAGGTCCTTGGTGCAATTTAATCATTTCTATTCATAAATAACCCACTTTAACTCTTATAAACTCCCTATTCTTGACTGTCCTTTTAATCCATTGTTTAATACTGTCTCCAAGAAGATGTTAAAAGGATTTCAGCTAAATGAGTTTGTTCAAGTGGTGAAGTCATACTCAAGAAGTTGAAGACATCAAAAGCCAAGTCCAGTTGCTAAAATAGCAAACAAACCCACAAATTACTGCAGCCTGCCTGCCAGTCACCATGAAAAAATGTCACAAGGCCCACTCACTCTCAATTCAGTAGGAGTCAGCCGTGGGAAAAACACCTTTTTGGCAATCATTACAGCTTTTTTTTTTTTTTTGATAGACAGGCAATAGATCTGCATAATTCTGTTTGTATGTGGAAACTCGCTTGCAGTAGACACACATAGATACTGTGCAATATTGGGTAAAAATCTAGGTTGGGATTTTTCAAACCACTTAATGACCTCAGAGCGTTTTTTTGAAATTTTGACTTCCCCAAATCATTTATGTTAACTGTATTTTATGCTTCCTTTAATTTGTTTTGATAGTAATTATCCAGCGTAATAATAATTATGAGAATAAATGCTGTTGTAATTAGCGTTACTGTAGTAATTATTTTTGTAAGTAAGTTATCCGTTCTTTCCCTTGGTTATTGAAATTAGGCTAAAAAAAGCATATTCTTTGTAGTGAAGAATATTGCTCCTCCTAAGACAGTCCTTGCAGGATGTCGTCCCCAAAATGCCGTGGTTTATACTTTACCCTTAAAAATCTGGTTCCACTTAGCTTACCTGCCTCTTTTATATAAAGTGCTTTGAAGGTATTTCTTTCTCTATTTTTCACTAGGATGCCGACGTGCTTACTGCGGAGATGGCTACAGACATGAGGGGGTTGAAGACTGCGATGGGAAGGATTTTGGATATTTGACATGTAAAACATATCTCCCTGGGTATGTATGAGCTGTCTTCACTTTGGTTTGGTGGTGGGTTTTTTGGTGGGTTTTTCTTTTTCTTTTTCTTTTTTCTCTTAGCTAGTTTTAAAACAGAAAAGTATTACCCACTTAAACCTTGTTTCACTGGGGCCACTGCAGGCAGCAGGGGAGAAAGAGTCTATCAGATTATTTCTGCATGACATTGACTATAAGGGCTAAATCTCATCTCTCAATAATAATCACATGGTTCTTTCCTGTACAAAAAATAAGAAAGGTGATATAGACATAGGTTTTCCCATTTCTTGCAAACATTTCCTCATTTGGTGACATTATCTTTGCATGAATGTTCACCCATAATACACCAATAGTAGGAAAGACCATGAGGAGGTGATCACACTTAAGGGGGAAAAAGAATCCCAAAGTGCCACCTCCAACCAACCTCCTGTTGCTTTTGCAGGTAGGTACTCTAGGGGTATCTTTGTTTCATGAATCAACCCATCATCTATCAGCCTTTCGGTCAGCAGCAGATGCAAAGCCAAGCATCTGCTTAGCAATGTCCTTCATTTAAAGCATCTGCTTATTGTTGTCTTCCCTTCTCTGCCTTTGTTTAAGCAGCTTCCTCTGGTCAGCGTTTTGCCTCCAACAGCAGTACCTCTAACTGTCAGGTATTGTTACTGCCTAACAGGAAACATTTAATTTGCAAATGAAATTATGCGCAGAGCCCTCATCATTCATGGAAGAATAATGTGCTAATTGACAGGAATAAGAAACCACAGGATGTCTTTGTAAGTCAAGTGCTGTGCTAATCCTTCCACTGCCATTGTTGGAGTGCTCCTGGTGTAAGAGATTACTAAAATCGAGACCAGCAAACCTGACAACCTGCAACATTTTACACAGATCTCATCTTAAGACAGCATGGAGCTCTTTCTCTTGTGAAAACTATTCCCTTTTAAGAATCTGAAGTTTAGTGCCAAAAATAACACCACAAAAGCTTGAGAATTTTTTATAAATTTCATCTTCTGTGTATTATCAAGTTGTGAAGAGCAACCGAGATGCTTTATTTTTGTGCATGCACTCTGAAAATTATCTGCTAAACTAAAGAAAATGCTGTGACTCATCAGTAAAATGGGATAAGTATGTGAGCGTGGCACTCCCGTGGGAGTTTCATCCCAAAGCCCTTTCTCCTCCAAGAGCTCTGCTGCAACAGATTTTCCCATTTTCTACTCTTTCCAGCCCCCAAATCCCTCCTCATATTTCACACACCTTCACTTCAGATCTTATGTTGGTTTTCCGAGAATGTGGGTTATCCAAGGACACAGTTTTAAGGACCTACTTTATGGCTGCTTGTGGATTATCTAATAGATGGGTTATTCACATATGCTAGCAGTAAAAATTCATCAAAATGCTCGTTTTATTAACATCTCTGGTCAGGACCTCAGTAGGTAGAGTCACTTCAGCTCAGTTTAAGTCAGTAGAAGGACAAAATTACTGTTTTTCTTTATTTTTTAAGGACCGTTGCATTTATTTTTTTTTTCTTTCAAAGATGGGTATGTGTCACTATCGCCATTTCAAGTACATGAAAAATAAGTTAAAGGAAAGGCACAGTCATGCCTGCTGGAGCTATTGGAAGTAACTGGAAAAACACTTAACTCAGAGTCTCAGATATTTCCTTACACAGTTCCTGTGGGTGAGCGCAAAGGCCTCCTGCACCCACCCCCGCGTAACACTCAAGTCCCACTGCCAGTGGGGTTTTTTTTAATTGATTTTACTGGGAATTAAGTCTTCATTCATAGTTTCTCCTGGACTCTTACTTTGCTGACAAGGGAGAGCACAGTAGACCACTGATGGAAATTACCCTCTTATTTGGGTTCCTGTACGTCGCTGCCCTTGGCATTTTCTGATGTTCTTCATTCCTACAGAGAGTTACATCTAGAAACCATACAGTGTGAACTATAGCATACTTTGAAACTGAGATATTATCTTTTCTTTCAGGTCTTACGGAAAATTGCGGTGCACTTCTTACTGCTACATTGACTCTACACAGTGTCGGTACTTCACATGAGGGGAGCAGAGGTGGGTAGCATCCCACATGTTGCGGGGTGCTAGGTGCTACACTATCATCTATCCAACAAGGACTGGGACAAAAAAAAACCCACCCACATCTGTGTGAAAACAAACAAAGGGACGTCACGCTGCTGATGGCCATTTTGAGATGTTTTTCTTTTTTTTTTTTAAATTAAGTCAGACTGCGAAGAAATAGGACCACTGCATCCTGTCTTAATAGAGGAATGTCAAACAGTGTTTGCCAGTAAGACTTTCCTGTGGCTGTGGATAGCGACTTGTTCGCTGTCACAAATGCGACGTTGAGCCACTGGAAACTGAATTTCATGAACCAGGAATAGTGTGTAACAATTACCTCGACTTAGCACTGTTACACCTACATGTAAGCTCTTCAGGGTTTTTGTCTTTAAACCTTCTCAGCATAAACACAAAGCATATCTTGGGTGCGGTGTTTATAGAGATGTACTCTTTTAATACAATGTGAACTCTACAAGTGTTGTATCCACACGAGTGCTGACTTCAGTGACATTAAGGTTAACTGTACACCTTTGTGGGTCGAAGGAAGTAAATACTTTAAAAATCAGCAAATCAGCCAAAAATGTTGGTTAACTTCACCTTCAGGCTAAGACGTTTGGCTGTGCGTGCCTGTGTGCATGCATGGAAATGCAAGCAGTCAAAGGTGGACTGAAACTGCAAACCACGAAGGCCAAACTGGACAAATAAAGTGTGAAATAGCCAAGGAGCTCTCTCCAAGAAGAAAATCAGACAAGGAGGGAAGAAAAAGAAAGAACGTATTTCCGTATTTTCAGCCCATTTCTGAGCTGGCTGGGCTCTGCGTGACCCCAAAGGGGCTGGGACAGCATCAGTCACCTGCCTGAAAACACAGCGTGACCATGTACACATCGCCTTAACTCTGGTTTCCATACTGGAAGGTCTTTTCATTTTCATCCCCTTGTCCACTCAACCTGCATCATTCAGTTACTGGTTATGCCCTGCCCTCTCTCCCCCTCTCTGCCGCTCGCTGTTTTCAACGTCGTATCTGGGGTACCCACCAGAGTATGTTCTCACTCTTCTATCGCTGTAAATCAGATCTTGGAGTAGGGTATTTATGGATGTTCATTCATGCTGTGTAATGTACATAGATTTTTGTTTTTCAGAAAGTTTGTTCAACTATATTAGCTCTGATAGGAGTCAGGGTAATTATATACTTATTTATTAGCAGGCATTAAAGAGCATGTTTCACGTGGGAAGCATATTAAATGTTATGTGAAAACAGAAGAAAATTAAACAAAGGATGTGCAGAATTCAGAACTAAGAGCCTCAAATCAAGGTGTTGCTTTCCTACAAGCCACTCGTTTCTGCTTCGTGATAAATGCTGTATACGACTGTTTGAAATGCTGGAGTTATCTGTACCAGTGACAGCACTGCAACAGCTGCTCTTACATTGGTGCTTCGGCAAAGGTTAAATAGAGGTGGATGTTGCGTTATAATGATAATGCATTAAAGCGATCAAGAAATACATACAACTTTTACCACCTGTATAGAAGAATTTAACTCTGCATGTCCAAAGTGACTGGAAATCACCAATCGAAAAAAAAAAACCAAAAAACCAAAATTAATGTACTCTTTGTGGCTATCACTTACCTGGGCTCTTTATGTTGCTGTGAAGTCAAGCCACCAGCATTTGTAGCCCAGTTCAATAGTTCAAAATTTTTCTTCTCGTTTCCTTTTTTTTTTTTTTAAACCAGAGGTCTTAATAAAAAGGTCAAGGAACCACTGTGCCAAGGAACTTGTCCATCATAAGCTCTGGAAATCTGGTCACTAGCACAGCTGCCTTTTAATTTCCTGTGCTTGTGCAAGCAGTGGGTTCCAGCAGCATCACACCACACGGGAGGCTCTGGAGGACAGCCACATTCCCAGCAGCACGTCCTGCTGGCCAACCCTCCGGCTGTGCCTCTGACAGCAGCTGCTGAGTGTCGCCATCCTGGGCTTGGAGAGACTTCATCTGAACTCCTCATCTTCCCCAAGGAGTTCATCTCTACCCTCCCCAAAAGGCTGGAGTCTTTGAGAAATTTGGTAATCCCAGTGGCCTGTCACCTTCAGTTTTAAGTCACATCCTTTTTAAAAGCTCCTCCCTCTGAAGGACATTGAAGTTGCAAAGCCAAGTGCACAGAGGGTAGGAAACGTAAACAGGAGCTCTGATCACGCAAGTAAAATTGTCCTGTGTTCAGGAAGGGGCGCATCACTCTGGTCAGAAAGCATTCACAAAGCATGGATGTTAACTGGACTTTATTAATGCAGCACAAACAATTTAGCATCTTAACAGAAAGAAAGGAATATAAGATATAAGGGAAAGAAAAAAGGCATGAAACAAGTTTCTTACTACCATTACTGTCTTGTTCCCCTCAGATGATAAAGCAAGAGACAGACGTCTAGGAAAGTGTTCAGTATATACAATTATTAAAGTGGCTAAAAAAAAAATAAATCCCCTTCCTCCTGATTTCTGACACATCTGCTTTATTATTAATTAGGAATTCTTCAGCTGGATGGTGCCTGGTCTGCTGTGAGTTATCTTCCCTCCTTCTCTGAGTTTCTTAACACATTGTGCCAAGTCTGGTTCAAAAGTTAATCGAGGCATTTCAGTTCCTTGGCCTTTTTTAACAGCAAATGCCTGGGGGAAAGTCTTCTAATGATTAGTATGCAACTCTAGAGGAATACAAAAATAGTATGAGCTTACACCATGCACTGTATTAAATATATACTAAAAATCCAGCTTGCACTTAATATATGATTAAATATATGTAGTTACCTACTGCATGTATTAGCAGCTCATGTCAATAAATCATGCTACCTTAGTTCTGGTATGTCCTTACCTTCACTTATTTCATTTTGGGTTTAACAACACATTTTTTAAATATAATTACCCAGTTTAAGATGCTGGAGAGGGAAAAAAACCCAGCGCCTCCTCTCCCACGCTTGCCGCCTCTCCCCGCCGGCTCTGTGCGGGCGC